TGGGATGCCACCAGGCGGGCAGAGCCGTGTCCCTGCCTCGGCGGGCAGAGATCAGCAGGACCGGTGTAGGAGGGGTCCCAAGACTCTTCTTCCACATTTGCGTTCAGCTGGAAGCCAAATCACTGCAGATTTTGGCAAAATTAACGAGGGAAGAAACACGTCTTTGCTGTTTTGCCTGAGTTAGTTTGTCAGCTGCTCAAGGAGCTGTTAAAAGCCGGCGGCTCCGAATAATGCTGAACCAGGAAAGTTTCCCAGCAATTCCCAGCAGAGGACACCAAATCCTAACTCCACATCGCCACCAAACCCTCCCTGCGATATACCACCAGCCCCCTCCGCACCCTGGGGCTCTTCTAACACCCATCCCTCCCTCTGGGATCTCCAGAGCAGCCGAAACTTTCCCTGGGACCAGCAAAAGATTTGTCTTATTGTTGTGTTGTTTTTTTTTTTTCTGGTGGGGGCAAGGAAACTTTGGAAGGATTTCTCCCTTCCATTTTGTCCTGCCTTTATTTCCTTTTAGTCTTCCTGCTTTCTTTTATGATAAAACCCAGAAAACACTGCACAGATATAAAAAAAAAAAGTCAAGTTTAGTCTTGCCTGATTTTGCAGGACTCATTTAAACATCTCAAAAGCTCCAACGCACCTGGACAGCAGAGTGGGACAAGGAAACACCACTCCCTCTTTGTAAACAAGCAGCCAGGGGACAAGGACAGAACCTGGGCCCCAGGGTTCCGGGATATGTGCCATGACAGCTGGCAGAGAGACTTTGCCCGTCCAACATGTGACATTTTGGTTTGGTTTTTTTTTTTTTTTTTTTTTTTTTAGCTCCAAGTGTTACGAAGCAAGGGCTCCCTTCAGATGGTACCAAAAGTCACCCGTCTCCTCCAGTTCACCACCGTAAACCAGGCAAGATCTGCCTCCTGCTTGCTCCCGCTGCGGGCACCTTTGCCCAGCTGATTAATTACCAGCAGCTCTCGCTGCTTTCTCGTAAGTTGAGGTTTATCATTAGCCAGGGAGGAAGTGTCAGTCTGTTGCTGATCCTGGTTACAAGAATTTCTATCTATTTGATGATTTCAAGCTGGAAGCAGTATCAAGGTGGGGGTCACCTTGTCCAGCTGCTTTCCCCGGGCAGCCCAGCATCACCTGCCTCGGACAAAGCAGCAAGAACACGCTGCAGCCACCCCTGTTACCTACAAATTGCTTTCAGACACCCAGATGTTTCCCCCTCGTCCTTTGCTGCCAGACACAAACCTCAACACAAGCTTGGGACCAAGGCAGCTCGGAAGCTGCCTGACCCCTGACGGGGGTGTGACACCCCAAGCTGCCTGGCTGCACCCAGCAGCCCTACACCCACCTGGTCCTCGAGCCGCTGCCCGAGGATGCCCGCCGAGACGAGCTCGGATGGGACACTCTCCCCTCTCTGCCCACCTGGGGTGACCACAGGAGGAAACATCTCCAAGGCTCCAACCCGCTGCCTGCTGCCAGAGCAGGAGGCAAACCACCTTCATCACCCACGCGAACGGTCTTTCCTAATGGAGGGGTGCCAACAAGCACCTCCTCGTTTCCCCCCCCGGCGCGATGCTTTCAACACCCCCAACTCGCCCCGCGGCCCCACTCACCACACTGAGCCGTAGGCTCCGGACCCCACGGGGTGGAGGGACGTGTATCTCCTGGGCAGCTCCCAGAGGGTTTTGTTCACCTCCTGTCTGTAAAAGCCTCTTCTCCTTGCGATGTTCATCGCCCGGCGGGTGCGGGACTGCCACCCCCCCAGAGTACTGGCGCGCGGGAGGGCTCTTGGGGTGAGACAGGGACAGCGAAGCCTCCTGCGCGGGTGAAAAAGGTTCTTCTCTGTTTTCAGCTGTGGCGAGCGTGAAGGGACATGTCTTTGGGCCCTCCTCCCTCCGCCTCCACATCGGTGGAGGTGAGGCATCGGTTTCCCGACACGCCTCGGACTTGGACAGGTGCTCCTGGAGCTGAGCACCCTCCCCAGGGCAGGCACACCTCCGGCTGCCCCCGGCTGGCCCCCACAGCTCCTGCTCTCCTGCATCCACGGGGCCACCGGCCCAGAAATGTCCTCATGGGGCTCGGAGCGAGGGGTCTCGTGAAATCCCTGCTCTGAACAAGCGGATGAGTAAGGACTTGTGGAGCCGGGGAATCCGGGGGACAAGCCACAGCGCCTCGTCAGGCAAGCGGGGACATTCTTCTTCCTGGCTGGTGGAGGACACAGCTCCAGGCTCTTGACGAAGGACACCCGGGTGTTACATCCCCAGAAGGAAAAGGAAGCCATAGGGATTTTCTCCCGAGCCCGGCTCCCCAGCAGGGCAGGGGTGTGGTGAAACAGCTGAGGTTCTCCAGCTTCATCCAGGTGGCTGCACAGAGGCTCAGGAGCAGCTGTGAGGTGGGACCATCCTGAGAGCTGCTGGTGCCCCAGGCTTTGCCGGCTCTTGGTTTCGTTTCCTGCAGCAGGTCTAACTCCCTTCTCAGGTCTTCTTGGACAGTGCGAAGCCCAAGTTCACCGCTGTGCCTGCAGGGACCACGCCAGACCAGCAAACCCAGCCTACGAGAAGGTCCGTTCCTGGTAAGCAGAGAACACCTCGACATTTTGCTCCAACTTTAGGAGGCTCAGGTGGGGCTCCCGTGCAGGAGGTGGGTGCATCCTACATACTTTCCGAAGGAAGTGACTAAGCTGAGCCTTCCCGAGCCGGCCCAGCTGCTTACGCTGTGCTTTCCCCCACTGGCCCCAACCCTGCCCACAGCCCCTGCTCCTTCCATCCATGTCATCTGCAAAGGTGGCCCTGCTCCGAGCACAGCTGTGCGGCAGGACAAGAGCCAGGTTACCTAATAAATAGGAATTGCTGAAAATGCACCATCAGGGTTTTAGGAAAGACTCGTTTTTCCTGCCACTGGGGTTAGTGGTGGCCCTTCCGTTCTTCAAACGGCTCTGGTAGGGTCTGGGGTTTGTGGAACACAAGAGCAGGGACAAGGCTACGGCAATTTTTCACCCTTACGCACACGCGTGTACATAAGCCCTGGCTCCAGCAGCAGCCGAGGCAGAAAATAAACCAAGGATGGGCTTGGTTCTATAAATACACCTGTGAGCAAGAGGTGTTGCAGCAACAGCTCCCGGTGCCGAAGCAGACGTGCAACTCCTTTGTCACCAGGAACACAGTTCTTGCTCAACCACGCGTGCACACGCAGGTCATCAGCACGCGATTCCGGACTCTGAATATGTAGGGCACGTCTTGGCTGTAGAGAGGTGAATTAATTCGAGTGAGCGATTCGAATCAAATAGGAAACCTCAAGTTAAGTAACTTCATTTTGTAGCTGTAGTTTGTTTTTTTCCCCCCAATTCAGTTCTCATTGATTTTGGTATTTTTTTCTTGCTCACCAGGATATATTGTAACTAAGCACATTCAGGAATTGTGTATCTTGGGGTTTTTGAATGTTTGTGTGGGTTTTTTCTTCTAGAAAACAATAAACAACAAGCCCTGTTTTTTTTTTTCCTCTCCCTCTCCTCTAAATTTGTACCAAGGCAGGCAGAAGGTGAGAACAGGGAGGCAGCTCCCACGCAGCTGAGAGAACACCCCCACGCTTCTCCTTCTTCTTTCTCAAACGAGCTGCGGCACAGCCCCGCGACGGGAGCGTACACCTTGTGGGTATTGGCTACCTGACTCGGATCAGCACAAGCCACCTGGCTTTACCAGGGCCTGGGAACTTCAGTTAGAGGCTTTTGGCAGCGTGAGGAACACAGCTCTGCTCCATCGTGCTGCTGAGTGAATGGCACCGACACAGCAGCAGTCAGAGAATCTCCACTGATGCTCCTGCTCCCACAAACACCCTTCCCCCCCCAACCAAGTGGCAGCTGAAGAAGGGAAAAAAAAAAAAAAACCTAAATCACTTTTAAGTAGCAAACACACACAAACCAGTACTACTGGGGAAGGGCCCCAGGTCTGGGCAAGCAGCAGAACGCTGGTCCATTGTGTTGAACAAGCGCTTTCCTATACCGAACAGAAAATAAAAGTATTTTTTCCTGCGTCCAGTACTTACGGTCAGACTCTAAGCTGGTTTTGTAGCAAAGAATTCGCTGGGGACACGTAAGGACACAAGTCCAGTGTCAGCAGAGTCAGTCAATGAGTCACCCGGCCCTGCCCACCCCTCCCAGATGGATCCCATACGGATCCCATACGACACGAGGGAGAAACTCACACTGTGGTAAAACCAACTGTTTAGTGCAAGAGGTTTCTAAGCACCATCAGCGCAGTAAATCTGAAAAATAGGTTTTATTTTTAACCAGTGGTATTGTGACATTTTATCTGGCATAACCAATTACAGCAAAATTCATGGATAGAAACAAACTAGCAGAGCTCTTCTTTGAAGTGCGGTGTCCTGCTCAGGCTGCGGGCAGCTGAGCAGCATGGCACCGAGGGCAGGGAGTGCATGCCACACGGCTCCCGACGGAGCACGGCCTCCGAATGGAACATTCCCACTCACACACACACGGACACACACAGGCACTCACAACGTCTATATTTTTAAAAATCTTTAGCAATATTTCTGCATGAAATCACACTGTAGCATCTACACGTAAAATGGCTAATAAAAATAATCTTGCTGGAGGTTTACACAGTATATCTACATTTTCATTTGAACACCTGGACTGCTGGTCCAGCAGAAAAGGGAGGTTTTCTGTCTTGATTCTGTTGGGCTGAGGAGAGTTTTATCCCAGAGCATGAAATAACTGCTCTCTTCATCTCACCCCAGACCTTTATTGTAAGCGTTGGACCTGAAGAGATCACTGGAAAGTAGCCTAGGAAGAATCAATGGCTTTGTCATCCGTGTCCCGTCCCTTTGTGCTGCCTCTTCAAACACGGGGTAAAAACACTAGAAACAGCTCCTCTTCGTCCCCTAGGTAACAAGAATACAAAATACTGCAAAAGCCTTTCTCCTCACATACACAGGTAACGTTGCCCACACAGGATGCCTGCAACAAATAAATTCCTAAAAACATCTCCTCCACAAGTCCTGAAGCCGGGCTCCTGAGCTGCCCAGGTACAGCTCTAGCACCCAAACACGCTGAGAAACCTCCCCGCTGCCAGGCTCTGACTCTGGGCCTTCCGTTCACGCAGAGTCCTGGAAAATACAAAATACTTGAACCATGTTTGTATTCAAACATACTCCCTTTCTGTGTTTCCTCAGGCAGAGATCAACCTGCTAAAAAACAGCCAAGCAGCTCTTATCTGAGAGGGCAAAAAACCAACCCTAGTTAATGTTATTTTTTTATACATATATAAATATTTCTATTTATAGATATAGACAGTGAAAGGGGGATTGTGGTTTTATGCATGCTTATTTCTTTGCTTTGGATTCCAATACTTCTAAAAAACTTCTTTTCAGGAAATAACTTAAGTTCTGGCACAAGATGCCGTAGTTGTTTCTTTGACAAACATTTTTTACATTTGATCTCACAAGAACCCCTCCGTCCCAAGTTCTCCTCCTCTACAGCCAGAAGGTCAGAACACAAAGAAAAAAGGTGCATGTTTCTACGCCGTCTATTTTATCCTTTCCTCAAAGCCTCCAGAACAGCAGGTGTTTCCCAAGGAGCTGCAGCACAAGAGGAAGGACGCTGTGATTTCATGGCACTGGCTGAGGTACTCGGTGAAATAGTTCACTGATGATTTAACTGCCCCAGTGCCATCCCCAAAAAAGTAATGACAGAAATCGGGCAGCTCTACATGCACATACAGCTATGACATGCAAAAACACTCCACCTTTTAAGGAACAAAACACACAAAACGTGTGGCTAGCAAGAATCTTCTCCAGCCTCCATCTCCTGGGAGCTAATGCTGGGAAGCCTCAGAAGGAGAGGAGGGGAAAAGGGAAAAATACAGGAATACCAATCCAGGGGTAGAGGCTGTTGCCTCAGAAAGTTATTTCCTGATTACATCGAGTTCGTGCCTGGCTATCTGGGAGCCTTCCCCCTGAAAACCAGCGGGGTCAAAGATTTCCACTCCAGACTTCCTTTCCCCTCTCTCCCCATTCAATTTAAGGCACAAACATATTTACAGTTTCAAACAAAACCTTTTCATGTTCCAAAAAAATCAGACATTAGGAGGCCTGTACATTCTGCTGTACCAGGAAGATCTGGGTGTAAATCAGCCAACTGGCATCGAACAAGGACATCCCTCAATCCCACCTTCAGTCCTAAAGAAAACAGAGGACACTCAGCCTACAAAACGACTTCCATTATTTTGAGGTTCCTTAATTGTAGAAGAATTGATAAACGGCAACGATTGTAACCAAAACTCTAAACGTCAACTTCCCCACCTCGCCCCAGCAGTGCAAACTGGTTGAGCACTGTTGCTGTGGGAGGACTGAAGAGCAGTCAGAACAGGTCTTCAGAGGCTCGCCCCGGGCTGTACACAGAACACAAGAGAGCATGCAGCATGTTTACACAGACTCAGCTTCCTTCCCTCCCCCCACCCTCCCCAACTCAACACACACAAAACCCCTCCACCAAGGAGAATATTGTTGTGACGAGGCACTTGAACGATATTTGGAGAGTCCCTAGGAACAGGCCTTCCCCTCACAGTGAAGTGGGACAAACAGAAGAGAGCCGTTTCTCAGGACTCCATCTCCTCTTGGTCAAGCGGTGGTGGCACAAAGCTGATGACTTCATCGTAAGTCAGACCTGGTGGGAAAAAGCGTGACGGAAACTTAATGGGCAGCACTAAAGACATC